CGTTGATCGACTGCTGTAGCCCTCGTGACCGCCACTCCACGAACCTTTCCTTCCACCCGAAGGCATCTCTTCCTCATAACACTTCTCTGGCCCTTTTTGTATCATTTTGGACTTCGTCCAACCTGGAGCTGACCATCGTTGAAGCGACCGAGTAAATTCCTATGGATAGCAGTGTCTTTTACAGCTCAATGAGCGATCGAAAAGATCTCTGATCGCGCTCTTTATTGCAGCTGTTTCTAATTCCTCCGAGAAACATATGTGCGATGCAAGTTGCTTCTCACAAAGCCATCACAAAGGCATCGGTGCCTTCTATCTACCACCATCCGCTCCCGCTTGCCTCTCGCCTCATTACGGTATTCGGGTACCGCCCTCGCAGCAGTCGTCTATAAGGAGCGTCAGGCAGGCTGCAGGCCTGTGTTGTTTCTCTGTCGGAGCTATTTGTTTCTCAGGATTTCCTTTTCTAACTGGTTCATTTCAAACAATTTCGAGGTTGCTCTTTAGTGCTCTGAGTGTTTTAGGAACTCAGGCCTTTACAGGAAAAGGGTTTAACTGACAATGTAGTTTGAGTTCTCCCTTACTTACCCTCAGGCCCTCTCTTGAATAACTTGGATTTTTCTTTTCCATTCATTCAGAATGGATTTCCTGGGTAAAGGTTGTCCGAGGTTTTTTCGGGTGTAGGTTGTACCAACTAACTACTAACTCAGCCTGAATATACCCATTTACCAAGTATAAATTAAGTTTCTTTCCTAGACCTAAAGATATTGGAAAAAGTTGTCGCAAACCTGTTTCGGTCAGATGGGACCATTTTGCAGGCCACCCATCAGGCCAATCTCCTCCGAATCGTTTTTTAGCTTTTTTGCGAGATTTATTGTGTACGTTCCTTGAAGTCATTGAATGAGTAGCCTTTAAAATGGATGTTGATGTTCAGAAAAATGTTCCAAAAGATTCTTCTTTGCGTCCTGCTTGTTATTGCCCTTGCCTCCTTCGTTTCGGCTGATTTCTCGTGCTTCTTCGGTGACTTCATCTGCAAGAGTGTAACATGCCGGGTATGTTTGAAACAGCATAATGGATTTCTCTAGTTTCAACAGCTTCGTCGAGACTTTTACTTATGATTTTATAATATTTTTGTTTACCCGCTATTCGGACTTTACAACAACAAACACCTATTTTGGATAAGCTGTTTTGATATTTATGAACCCGACACTGCAGAAAAATCACGCAAAAGTGGCCTTCTCCATCAAAACTGCTCGCTAGAGCGGCTTTGTCGGCAGCATTCAGAACCAGGCAGAATGCTCCAACTGGTGGAATAGGTCTCGATGTCCAAATTTAATGACCGGGATGGTCTATGAGTGTTTGACTTTTGATAAAAGATGTTTACCAGAGTGAACACTAGGTTGCCACCCAAGATAGCCAGGTTACAGGCGAAAAGTAAATAAATAAATACGTTGTAATAGTGATGAAAGGAAGCAAACACTGATAATAAACAGAATAATAAACAAATAAACAAGTTGTGCAGCATTTAAAGCATTTACGATATTTACTAGTAGTTTTAATTTCAGAAATGCACAGTGGCGACGTGCCTCAACGGAGATTGCGTATGCACCCTTTGCAGTTAGATCACTCTTGCTATCATCATAATCTGAAAAATATGTCTATATCGAATAAATGCCTTTTTTGAATACTGTATTTTGAAATTTCTGTGATGTATGTGAGCTATTATGAAGAGACTACGAAATCGGTTATTCTGAAGAGTCATGAAGAAGCTTTGCCTAAGAACTTTAGAGCAGTGGGAAAACTGAGGGCATTTCAGATACCCATTCAGATAGATGCATTGCTGAACAGCCTGGATTGCTATCCGGGAACTAACTCAGGCAATAAGATTCTGCATAAGTCCCTTCTGCAGTATCCATCCAGTCATGGTCTCCGAGTGGGGTTTCCAGTAGAGTTCCCACACAGTTGTAGGCATCATATGACTAGGCGAAATTTGACCCTCATTTTGGTCTTTAATCTCTGGTTTTGACGAGAAGCATGTGCTATTTCATCCCCGTAATATATACAGGGCGGAGAAATTGATCATTGATCCGTTGATGTTAAATTTAGCCGATCATTGGGGACGAACAACAACATGTTCCATACAAATCATATCGAGCAATGAACGAGCGTCTAACTGCCTTCCTATCGACCGCTTGCTTGCTTAGTCTTATCATATATCACTCCCAAGTCAAATAATCAAGGCGACTTATCGTCAGGCCTGAAACTCAACTGATATTTGCCTATTTTGACGGTCAGCCGTACAGAAGGCTTCGCGCAACCAGTGAGAGATGTAAGCAAAGGGACCAGTACCGCTAGCTAGAAACACTCATCACAACGAGACAACCTAGGAAGGATCAGATCTCGCACAGCTTAACATCTTCTCGAAGCATTTAAGTACTTTCAAACCAGTTTGGGAATGCAGAAGTAATGTTCTAAACACGGTGAACAGATGTCATACTCGAGAGCAGGCACAAGGAAAGTTGATGATTGGTTTTTTCCAAGTTTTTCTTCGGGGGTAAAGATTATGTGCAGTGTATGGAAGGTTTTCTGATGCCATTATGACAGTTGAGTCAGTGAGTGCTCAATTCCTTTCCATCCTAGCTTTTTTGCCATATCTCTTTGGCTAATAACTGCCTCTAATTGTAAGTGGTCAGCTACACCTGCTTATCTACGCTCTGGCGTTCAATGTCGGAGAACAGGGGTGCCCCCACCACACAACATTTTCACCATAAAATTGAAATGTACAACAAAATTCTAACCTTAGTTTACTGAACTATTTTTCAATGTGCACTACAAGTGCATAATCTGGAAGAAAATGATAAGACTTCGAAAGAATCCTGATGAGCCCTGGTCTTCATACTAACACGGATTCTGGTATACGGTAGCTGATCGTGATCTTCAGAAATGTTGCAGGTCGTCGAGCTCTCAATCAATCAACATCCACACTTTTTTACTGCGTACCCATGATGATATCTCATTTCCGTAATTCCTTATTTTTCGTCTTTGATTCTTCTTTGATCAAGCAACAATCGACCATAATTGTCAAGCTCTCTAGAACAAGGCTGTGTTTGCCTGCTTCTGTCTCTTTTCCATGCTTTTGCTGTGAATGGCTGGACTCAAAGCTACTTCTCGAGGTTTCACAAATGTTTTGCCCCTCTCCGCTCTCACTCAAGAAGAAGAACAATGAGTGGAGGTGGATGTGGACTTATTTTTTGGTTATTGTTTCTAGAATTGAATCTTCTTCAGTAAGTTCTAGTTCTGGCATATACTGAGTAATACGTAAGTCTTTTTCCGCATGAGCGGTACGATCATAGTAGGTACTAGGTTAGGCCTGACAAGGCTTTTATCCCTCCACATCAGGTCTCTTGATTTCAAGCCTATTTGGTAGAGTAGAAGCACTGATTAGTTCGAAACTGTCACCCATTTTCGTCCACGACGGAATCGAAAAATCCTCGTATAAGACTCCAGTATTCTTTGTCTTTGCTTGCCTCCACTGAGCAATTGGCGAAGCTCAGTAATGTTGGCGATATGAGATAGCTTCACCTACCCTTGGAACCCATAGCTCAACCGAATTGCCTTGGGAAGTTCCAACCTACATTGAACTAGATAGGTCTGTTCATTTTGAGTTCTTGAGAGTGCGAGACGGAGAGGCCAGTCAAATTTCGAGAAATTCACCGTGGTTCTGGGTAAGTACCATAGTCATTTGTTTGACTCTCAGCCAACGAGAAAGCTCTATCCATCGACGGATTCTTTGTATAAGGAGATTAAACGGGATGATTGCCTTTCACCTGAGAAAACCTTCAATGTCATATCTCTATGTTTCATGTTTACAATAGGAATCCAAACATATGCGATGTTTATAGCCCCGAAATGTAAACAGAAGATGAGGAACAGATGTGAGCAGAATCGTAGTTCGAAGAAATTCTCAAGTATAGGAGTGATATTTTTTGAAGGAGCAGATTGATGGGAAAGAGTAGAGATAGATAGAGTAAAGATAGATGCAATGCCTGCTGCCGCCGCCAGCGTATTCTTGTCCTCTTGATCAACGTGAGTCTTTATCACCAGACCTCTAGTGCTACACGAATCATGGATACTCAATTCCAACTAGAACATCGGTTTTAGTCTCTCTTCTTCTTCTTCTCCCTGGCATTAATCCCGTACGGTCGCGTAGTCCGCTGTTTTCGTACAAGGTCTCCGTTTTCTTCTATCCAAGACATCTCCTGCCGTCACTTTATTTCGGCGAAGACCTTCATCATGTCCTGTCTCGAGGTTCAAGGATGTTTGTGATCACTACCCTTGAACCTCACGTTCCATAACCTCCCTTCATCGGATGATTCTGTGGCCTTCTCAACCGTGTCCGTACCGTCGCGGCGCTGCTCTTCCATCTTCCGCAGGAGCTGTTGGCATGGTCGCTTTCACGCCACAGTTTCTGATTCGGTACAGACACGGCCAACAACAGGCTAATCATCCTCTTTCGGCAGTGTCAGGTCGTCTTTCATGATTTTTACTTTCGGGCGGCACTGCCTGCTGAGAGCATCGTGAGCCTCTTGACGGTTTTGAGTGACGACCTTCTTACGAGCACATTGTCAATTCGCATTCGGTCCTCTCGTCTGGTGAAGGGTATCTCTTCTCGCGAAGGATGTGTCACGGACGTCAGGTTGTGAGCTGTGGCCAAGCTGAAAACCCTTGTCCACCATCGTTCGGACCTCGCCACCCCTCTTTAAGCCCTCATACACTTCCGACATGGCATTCAGATCATCCGCTATGGTGAGCCTCCGGTCCACCAGCCATGATTCGACCGGCGATCCTGTTGACAACAAAGACCAAATCTTTGGAAGAACGACTGCTACGGCCACAAGACTTCGTTTGTCATATTCTCGGTGGTAATAGAGCTTCACATCCTTTCCGATTTATCTGACCTCTGCTCCTTTGTGTTGTCTTTTGGAAGCATCTTGGATGTTCTGCACTGCATTAGATCACCCTCTCGAGACTTTCAGCAAGCGAATCCCGTCCAGAGTCATAGTTTGAACTAATTGAACTGTTCACTGCTCATTAGCCCTCGAATACTGCTCGCAGAACTCGGAAGGGAATCCTGCGCTCAAGTTTCGAATTATATCCTAGCTTTATAACTGGGTATTTCGAGACACTCGACATGGCTCTTGTGATTGGGCTTTCCATCAGCTGACCTGTCTTTAGTGGTAGCAATTCTGCAATTTTGCATCGCTTTTGCCTCGACAGGGACTGAACTTGTGCTATTAGGAAGTACCGACATGAGTCTACACTCTTCGGCTATCCCTGCCTAACTAGAAGCCAAGCAGCTTGATCTAGAAGCACGCTTCCAACTGGCTTTCGGACTATGAGTGGAGGACTGGCACCCTTCTAACCTTAGAGCACCGACCACTTGATCAACGTTTTCATTCCAGTCGACTACAATCTTGAGAGCAATTATTAATATTTATTATACCCGGTCAAAATTAGTACCCATACATTCACACACCGATTTCAATTAATCGTTTATATGCATAACAACCTATTTAATCTCATTATCATATCATCATAGAATTCCATGCTTTTCTTATCTATCAAGTCATCCTTGTACGTAAATTGCCGCTTCAGCCTTTTTCGAATGACATCACCGCCTTTCATATATTCTTCCAATCGCTGGCTCAAAACACCTTTTGGCATGTCTCCAGGAACGTAAACGAATGGACAATCGGAACGGAGCGGCGACTCGCCCTACAATAGTAAATCATTAAATTAAGGCAAACTCAGGCAAAGGGTATATTAGGCCTTGCATACCAGTACTGAAAAACAACGCTTCGAATAGATCCCATGTTCCACTTGCGGTAAGGTGGCTAAACGATCGCAGTACTCGCTGAACTCGCTTGAAGTTAGCTCAAAGCCATGACGGCGTGTACTGAAGGAGAAATGATGAAGGTGCACAATACAGCCACGGAAGAATACGCCATACACTTGTCTCCCCAAAGAGCAACGTGGTTACCCTATTCCTATGCATATGCATATGCATACATTAACACTACGTTACTTTCGCCATACCTTCACCACCTGCAGTGTAATCTTCAGCAATCGTCCAAAAATACAATCTTACCAATTCTCGCCATTCGTTTTCTGCCGTACTTTCTCCACCGACGGTATGTATTGTACCATTTCCATTTTACTGCTAGGCAATTGTAAACGACTGAGCTCGTACTTGAAGGTATATCTGAAATGTTCATTGATTAATATTTTATAGAAGGAATAACTACGTAACTCGCATCCCAACCTTTCTATGACGCCGACTTTTCCGTTTCCAAAGAGCGAACTCCTGCACGCAACTTCATCGGCAGCATTTATGAGACGGCCATCAGTAGGACGCTTAAAAAAGAGTGAGATCGAGAAAATTCACTCATTTCAAAGAGTGAATCACAATTTCCGAAACAATCAGAAATGATAGAGGATGGCTTGCTAAAAAGTCAGAGTCCTTCTCATTGCCTTGCCTTTAGACAACAAAGCAGAGCAACATTCTGAAAACTTGCGGAAACAAATAGGAAATGCAACTTGTAGCTATGTGGTATTCTCAAGCGAAGGGTTAATGAATATTCGGAATAAAACCTACCAGTTTTTCGCAAGTGGCATCCAAAATCGCAACATGCTGACCAGAGTGTCCTTCCAGCAAACAAATCGACCTGAACACATTATTTATCATGTTGTAAGTAGCAACTAAAGGGAAAAGGAACAACATAGGCTCTGCGAGAGTGAAAGAAGGAGGAATGGGTTAACTCTTGCAATCTCAAAATTTTTACTATGAGGCTTTGAACAGAAGTCAGCTATATTTGAACTTCCTATCCAGATCCATGCATAATTCACCTTCTATCCATTGACACAACCATATTTAATTGATTGGAGCATATCGTGTCGATCACATCAGTAAAGTTCGGTGTGTTAGCACTAACAACGATGATAAAGTGCTGGAAAGTAATTAGATTATTTTCATCTCATTTTCATTTCATTTCATTACCTGCCGCAACTCTATCGGAGTACCGAATGAGATTATCTCAGCCTTCCGCTGTCCTAGAAACTTCTTTACTTCCTGTTTTAGGACCTATACACTCTCACTTGAGAAGCAATACGTATATGTAGACGTAGGACCCGACGCCTGAGAAGAGCTTACCAGCCGAACAATTCAAACATCACTGTTTTTAAATTCTATCATGTCCGAATTCGAAACGCAACAACCCTCCGGAAGCTCTCAATTGAATTATCTCCAGTAAGAAAGGACTCACCGGACGATTGCAAAGGCCTGAGCACCTGTCTGGTAAACGGTAGTGCTCAGCAAGAGCTGGTGCTGGAATTAATGAATAAGTACCTAGATAGAGAACAACTATAATCGGCAATCAGTTACTTACGCACTCCTGGTTGGGAAAATACTCGAATTACTCCACTGCGCGATCGAGGGTTCTCTAGTGACTCGCATACAACACGTGATACATAATCATTTTCACAAATAACTAAGCATGAAAGTGGTGAGGCTGAAACCAAGTTGAATTCAGGACTCAATATCAATTTTGCTGATCCCTTCACAACTTAGAAGACAGCTGGGACCTCATTGTGAAAAATGCACAAAAAAGCGTGATACACGAAGATGAGGAAGGAGATAGAAGTGAAATTCCTTTCGTAATATTAAATACTTTGCCAGACTTACGGATTTTATCGATGATGGTGTTGAGTCGCACGAACTTTGGATGGGAATTTTGGGATACTTTGCAGAAAGAGATGTCGAAAATAGAATCTGAGCATGCATCATAAAAAGCGAATGTTATACCTAATTGATAGTTTTTACTAAACACACTTACCGGTTTTATAAGAATATTTCGCCTGGATTTTCTCATAAACTTTAGATAAAACGGGATCACCGAGGATCATAAGCGCTAAGTTAGACGCTCTTGAGTCTTTCTCAGCATTACCCAATAAATCTGTAAAAGACTTTGATCGTATCTACCACTCTGATTTCGAATTGAAACCGCTTTCCTGATGCTTGAATACACTTCAAACAGACGCTGCCAATGTACTTTTTTCGAGAACTCTATTTTTATGTGGGGAGATGAAGTAAAGTAAATGCCAAGGGTACAAGTTGCTTCCCGTTAGGAGATCCCGGTATCCTCCCACACCTAATAAAGAGAGCTCAAAATGTTAGCAAAAACTGACCAACACAGTACAGATAAAAAACTCTTGGACCATGAACAATAAGATTTCGTGCCGATTCCACAAGAAACATACAATTCACCACAAGTTGTAAAGTATCATCAGCACAGGAATTGGCTCTCTGGAAAGACGTGTCTGAGTGGTATTTCACAGCAAAATGATCGGCGATAAAATACTCACAGCTGATATCTGTGTCCAATCGATCAAAAAAAGATCCTGTGGTTTTGTTGACGGTAATGGAAATAAGTCGTTCAAGCTTTCCAAAAATATAACCGTTCTCTGCAATAATCTTACATTAAAAATCTGCCAAAATAAGTGTTCTACGCAAGCGCTAACGAAGACTGTTACTATACATCCCACTTTGCAAAATCCTCGCTTCTGCTAAAACCGTTCCATCTTCTGGGATGGTTGTAATTGATGAAATTGAACAGAGAGCTTTCGAGATTTGAAATCTGCTTCAAGGAAGACCCACCTCAAGCCACTTCTCTATAAAGGATCTTGTCTCTGACAGCACCTCCACATTTTCAATATATTCCACAGACAACCCTAACGGAACAGCGTTGTTTCTGGAAAAAANGAAATCCTATTCGCTTGAGCGAAATGACATTCGGAAAAGTCACCTAAAGACTAGATCACAAGCGGGAGGTTCGATCCATTGGGAGATGAGTAGTGAAGTGATGGTTTGCTGTCGTTTCCTTAATGGACCTAGTTTACGCGAAGTCGACGGCACCGACGGGGTTACTAATATAACACGAAAAAGAATCTGAAAAAAAGGATTCTTCAGGCTACAGTACAGAGACGCACTGAAGGAACTCCTTAATCCTCTTACGTCTATAAAAAACAAGTTTACTCTCTTCTAGCTAAAATAGATCGGAATTCTTACATTTTTCAGCGTCAGCGATCCGACAACATTTTTGTACTTTGTAATACGGAGATTCTCGGAAGCATCGAGACACAGCACCACACATCGAATATCGCTAACCACTGGTGAGTCAGATTCTACGATTTTCTCTATTGTCTATAAAACAAGAGCTTTTTAAATGAGCTCGGAGAGAATGCGGAGAAAGTGGGAGAGAATGCCTCTCATGATGAGCCAGGAAATCTTTCTTTTTTATAAATGTAACTATTAATCAGAACAGAAAAGACTTAATAAAACCCGACCTGAGGTGTGGTGACAATTACTCGACCAACTTTGTGAGTTGGAGTCTTCTTAAATGTTTGGAACGTGTCCGCAATAAAAACCTAAACGAGACAGTTACTATCGAGATTCAACGGACATTCCGCCGGCATGGACTGTAGGTAGGTAGGGTGTTAGTATGCAGGCGACTTTACATTTTTTTTCACCTCGAAGAAAATCTGTGTTCTGTGGTAGACTCAATGGGGAGACCAATTAAATATGATTCGTCAAAAATGTGAATGTTACCTCATCTTTAGGAATTCCGATAAACAAGCACCGCTCCTGAAATAATTGAGCAGCATCCAATGAATTGCAGCAATATATGGAGCGACTTCTAGGGAACCACCTGAATTATGACAGGAAATTTGACTTTTTCTGGCTGTACCCGCCCAAATGCGTCGCCATTAAAAAGATACTCCAAAAGCAATGAAACGTGATATAAAGGCCGATTAAATGATAGTGATTTCAGTTGAAAGCATAACAGCTACCTCAAGAAGTTAGCAGTCACGATGGCACAAATATGATCAGCTGAAACAGCCAACGGTAGACAGACTGCTGAATTTTGAGAGACACAAGACTTTACAATGTCAATCTGAAAAAGTAAAGCGGGTGCTTTATGAGAGAAAAGTATATTTGGCTTTGACTGAGGTTTTTGCAAGCAATATTCACGACGTGGACTTGAACACAACCTTCCCTACCTCAAATTGACGAAGATATTCATTAGCAGGATACCTTATCGATGAGCCTTCCAGTGAATCGAAACCAGCTTTTTCGAGTTCCTCTTTACTAAATTGGCCAGTATCACGGTCAGTCATGTCAGTAAATTGAAGAATACTCTTCATTTTGAAAGACTAACTTTCAAATTTAGAGATAAAAAGAACACTATGAATCTGGAATTCATAACGAGCCAAAGGCAAACCTTGCCGGACTGACATGTCGCAACGGGGACGGAGTGAACATAGGTGCTGGAGTGGGATCAGACGTTGTTGAGTGACGTGCCAAAGGTGCCCACGATGGGGCAACCTTACTTGCTAATTCCGGAGTTCCTGAAAAACACTGAATGGTTGCTTCCCTCACACAACTCAAGATGTTTCTTCTTCTCAGAATGTACAATTCGGTGAAAATGTAGTTGGGGGGTGCCAGCGCCCTTCCGTCTAGTTGCTCTGCGTCTCTGACCCAGAGTTCCTAGAGACCGCACTGGAGCGCGGATATGGCCTCTTAATAGTG